AGCTAGGATTTCAGGATAACATATCCTACCACTCCTAATTATCTTATCCTGAAATTCTGCAAAATATACAGCATTAATACACATTTAATGTTACATATACAACTGCAAAATATACAACATTAATATACATTTAAAAAATTTACTGTATAGTTTGTTAAAGTACCTAACAATTGAGACAGCACCATGTTATGGAGATATGACGCATGAAGACCATGAGTGTCCATGCAGGCAGCTAAGGTTCTATGATTTATGTTGAATCATGCATAATTGATCTAATATCATTATTGTCACTACCTCTTAGCTCTTGGCCATTTTGAGTTTCGCATATCTCTTTCATATAAGTTATATAAATAAGTTTCGTAAAGTGCATTAGTTGTGGCGGTTTGACAAATTGCAAGTAAGTAATTGCAACATCATAAGCAAAATGAGCATGATATTTTACAATAAAGCATTTTTATGCTTTAAATGTAACCATGTTTATTACAAAATATATTGCAGATGGTTTCTTCTTCGTACTTTTGAAGAAAACCAATGCTTGCAATTTTAAGCAATATTTTTTAGAATTCTTTAGTGAGGCCACTCTTGTTTTATACCGGGATTTATGCTTACAGAATGCTTAAAAGTTTTATCATGATACGTTTACGTCAACTTTCGCTTTTTCGGGCCTTCGACGTGAGGTTATGCCTGCCGAGACGTACCCGGGCGAATCTGAAACGGGAGAAAACGTTGTGGTCGATTATAATTCTCGTGCTTGGACAAGATATGTCGTAGCCAATACAATGGCCAAATCGATGTTTTTGTGAGATTTAGCCGTCTTCAATAAAGATTAGACGTTCCATTCCTTTTCGCGTGGAAGAAAGTGAAATTACCAAGGTCTAGACCATGCCCATTCGACTCCCGTTACAAGTGAACACGAATGCTGGAAAAGTCTTTGATAACGTTCTCCCGTGAGAGATTATAGGTTTTAAAAGTTGAGCCTCAACCCAGGGAACATGAAGGGCCCAAATCTGTTCTGATCGTCAGATTCGTGAGCCGAGCTCAAATATCTACATTATGCGATATTGCTCTTACTAAAATCTGTCCGTTTGATTCAACGATTGGTTATACTTTTCCATCTACTTTTCTCTTCAGATTCTATTTTACCTCTTTAAACTAAACATGCACACTTAATAAATAAATTCTTAATCTGTAAAAAGTATTATATATTTTTAGTTAATTCGTTAGTTTCCTACCGTGAAATTTCTTGGCTGTAAAAAATAGTTCACGATATTTTATGATATATAAAATTGGAAGTTGGTTTTGCAAATTACATATGCTTTCACTGTTATGTAGAAATAAATAAATAATAGATATATGGATATGTAAAACAACACATAGATAAGGGAGATTGATTGATTGATTGATTAAAAGTTTTATTTAACCACGCAAAGTTAGGTGTTGTGGACCTTTCATCCACTTAACGTGAGTTGTAAATTTTACATTATACATACAAATTATCAGACTTTGTTGGTCTTTACAATTTATTTTACAAATATAATACCAGAAAAAATAAAGGTTTACACATTTTTACTAAATATTCCACAATACAACAATTGTTGGTTTATACATTTATAATGCAATATGTATTTATCTATGTAAGAAGTCAATTAAAAGAAAAGATAAACAATAAAAACTTTAATTTGATGAAAGAGTAGAATTATGATCGAGGGGTAGAATAAAAACAAAATTCCAACTTTGCCAAGCTTTCGACCCGGGCTTCAAGGTCATCATCAGGGCCTATATTTTAAAACAATTTAACAACAATTAATTAACAGTTATTTTATAAAAACAAACAAAACAAATAAATACATAAAAAACAATATAGTAAGTAGTTACCTATGCAAAAAATATAATTGTTTGTTTGCTATTTCATAAGACCATACCGTGATGTAGAGTGTTTGTTGTGCAAATTTGAACACCTTCCAATAGCTGTGAGATAGATAGGTAGATACAGATTAGATGTAGACAGATAGATAGGTAGATAACTAGATAGCTAGATAGATAAATACGTAGACAGATAAAGAGAGAGAAAGAGAGAGAGAGAGAAAGAGAGAGAGAGAGAGAGAGTGAGAGAGAGAGAGAGAGAGAGAGAGTGAGAGTGAAAGAGAACGTCCTTAGTCGAAAATGTTTAGCAATTCAAATCATTGGACCTTTAAAGACATTTTTCTCGTAAAGAATAAACAGAAGCACTTTAGGTAATGTTTTAATAAAACTGTTTCCTATACGACAAGATTAATTGACAGGGATACAAAGCTTTCTACGTGGTTTTTCAGGAATTACGAGGTAATACGTTTTCACGCTCGAGGCCCACGTCAACGTTTTCTCTTCACTGTTTGTATCACTAAGGCGATGTGACAGGTTAAACTTTTTTTTCATTATTTGGAGACCCTTTCCATCATCCGTATTATATTAGGCTATCCTTAGGGTTTAACGAGTCAATTTTTAAAACCAGAAACTATGCTTTCAAGTTAAGTATGTATTTTTCAATTAATTAATATTTATGAAAGGTATTGAAAATAATACTAATAATTTAGAATAATAATAATAAAAATAATTGAAAAATGTTAATTGGTCAATCGGACCACGAACTGTACTGTATTTAAGTATGTATGTATTTTGTAGATAGATAGATAGATAGATAGATACATAGACAGATAGATAAATAGATAGATAGATAGAGAGAGAGTGAGAGAGAATGAGAGAGAGAGAGAGAGAGAATGAATGAGCAAGGGAGAGAGAGAGAAAGAGAGAGGGAGTGGGAGGGGGATGGGGAGGGGGAGCGAGAGAGAGTTAGAAAGAGAGAGAGCGAGAGAGTGAGAGACAGACAGACAGACAGACAGAAATTGCTGTTTCGTGGAGAAAGAATAATTATTAATTTTTTTATTTGTTGAAACCAAGTTTTGTGACAAGTTCATGTATTAATCATTTCAAATTATTATTCTGACATCGATAACAATTAATTAAAATGCTACTGAACAGCTTGAAACAACATTTAAACTAGCTAAACTTAGAGTAGATATTTCGCGAAATACGCAGTCAATATAGTTGATCTCGATGTTTACTTTTCCTCTAATATAAAGAATGTAATATACAGAATATACATTTAATATACAGAATATAAATGCTCTAATATACAGAATATCAATTTGTACAATAAAAATTGAACTTTTTTCTGATGAAAGTGAACTCTTTTCAAACCGAACTGAAATTTTTACAAACTAAGTTGAATAAGCTTTCAAAAAAATGAAAAAGTTTTTTAATTTTTTTAAAATAAAACTGATTTTTTTAAACCAAATGGAAATTTTTATTTTTTTATTTTTTTTAAATAAATTAAATAAATATTAAATAAAAATATTAATAAAATATTAAATAAAAAGTGCTTTAAATCCAATTTCCCTTTTTCCAAACCAAATTGTTTTTTTTTAACATTTTTTTTTTAAATACGAATTGAAAATATTTTTAAAATTTTTGTTTATAACCAAATTATAATTTTTGTACAATCAAATGGAACATGGCATGTTCAAATTTGAAAATCAAAATGGAAATCATTAAAAACCAAATTTCAGTTTTTGTCTAAAATATAATTAAATCATTTAGGGGCATCGGAGGCCGCAACGGTTAAGGCGTTGACACGGCGCTCATTATCTTAAATTAAAATTTATCTTTATTAAAATCTTTATTAAAATCTATTATCTTAATATAATATATTATTATCTATTATCTATTATCTTTATTAAAATCTATTATCTTATTATTATCTTTATTAAAATCTTTATTAAAATTTATCTTAAATTAAAGGTCCCCGGTTCAAATCCAGCGGCCCTGCATTCGAACCCGACATACTTACAGATGGACTTATGTTTTTCAAAAATACCGATAACCCGGAAGTTGATATGACCTCTGCTGTAGCGAACCCTAGTAAAAAAAATTAGTTAGTTGAAAATATTTCATGTCAAATTTTTTTATTCTAAAGAAAATCGACCTTTTACTCAAATGAAATGAAAGTACTTAAGTAGTAGTACAAAGGTAAATTGATTATGAAACCATGACGATATTGGTCTATGGAAGACTTGAAAAATTGTTTGACATACAAAAATTAAGTCAACTAAATTTCATAATTACGACCGTACAAATTACATCCGCTTGACTGTTTTAGGAATATATGAGCAGCATCTCATAAATAAAACTAGGGGTTTACTTTCATTGTGATAGATGACAATGTAGATATCCTTGTATGTACTCCCTGACTGATGTACTGCTTGTAAAGTGGCTTGTACGAATCCAGAAAGAATTTTCTACTTTTTTTTTGTGTCGTCAGTTCGTATGCAGATGACAACAAAGATAATTAAAGACAAATGTGAATTTGTTTTGCCGATGCGGTCGGGTCTGAAGTGAAATATTGCCTAAGTCCAAATCTTGTTGACATTCTTCAAATTTTTAAAATTTAAGAATACTGAAATATATTTGTTTCAATTATGATGACTTCATCTTAACATAGCTAATATTATAAAAAAAATCAACGATTTGAACATTTTTAACAACCTTTGCTAGCAATCTTTAGTTTTTTATATTGAAATCTTGTGAAATTTCAACAACATTGAAATATATTGGCAATATATGAGAAAGGTATAATTGTAGCTGTGATCTGCCATGTAACTTACCTTCTTGACTGAACACTTGACAATGTGGAGTGTTCTCCAGATCGTGGATCAAGATTTAGTTTGCAATACTGCTTCGGTCTTCCCGTCTCATCCCGATATGTTTGGCGAATGGCGAAATTGACAGATCTGCTCGAGGATTTTGTCGCTTTCTCCCCGATTTACCAAGTTGGCGAAAAAAACCTTTTTTAACAAATACTTCGTTAGCGTTTTAGGAGAGGCGGGTGCTCCTTTCCCTTTCGCTCCTTTTGTCGAGGAGAGGGTCGGTTCCCCTCTTCCTCGCGCTTCCACTCTGGACCTCCTTCCAGACAAGTGCACTTCTTAGGCGTCCTCCTTGAGCCAGCAACAGTCTTGTGTCCAGTGCCATGTCGTTCGGAGGGTTCCTCCTTCTTTTACTGGCGGCGTCCGCCAGCGCGATCACAAACTCACAAGAAGCCCAGCACTATTCGCAGTTGCAGGTTTGAAGACTATCTTTTAATATATACTGTTGTACTATTCATCGTGTGTATGTTGGGGTTGATCAATCAGCACAAGTCATTTAGGGTTAGTTGAACAAAAAAAGTAAATTACTAAGAAAAGAAAGGGTTAAAGGAGAAAATTATCTAGTTGAAAGTGTCAATATTTATTTATACGTATACTTTTTTTAAACTTAATAACCAGTGCTATTGGCCAAAAATAGTTTAATAAAAAATAATAAATTTACTTACACCAAATTTAATGTTGCAAATGGAAGAGTCAGTTTTTTAAAAATTGCTTTTGAGACAATCAAGGGTGATTTGGGGGATGGGTTCATCCATGCGATCAGTGATCAAAATTGGTTGATTGTGTGATTTCAAATGAAGCTGAAAGACGTGTGTCTATGGAATCTTGAATTTGGAGTGGCTCCAAGCGAATAATGCGTATATTTGCGTATTATAGGTTTTTAATATACAAATTGTACAATGATAAAATACTTTATTATTCCGGAAGCCAATGAAGCTACATAAAACTTCTTTTATTGTGTAATACAAAAAATGAATAAGCTTTCTTACTACAATACTGAATCAAACAGAGTAATATGATACTTATTATAATCATGATGATTGATAAAATTAGAAAAATGACACGTTCAGGACTTTTTGCCTGAAAATAACAATTTAATGAACTTAGTAGTTTAAATGTTTAAAATACAACAATAATAATACAATTTTACATTGAAAATGAGGGATAAAGTGAATTACAAGGAAAACACTGTACCTTCGTCGTGCTTTCATTCTCACCAAATTGACCATTTTCCGAAGAAGAATTTTTAAACGAAATTGAAAGGTTTTAAAAGCGACTTGGACTTTTTTTTTTCAAATGAGTTGAAATTTGTTAAAAGCAAATTGAACTTTTTCCAAGAGAACATGAACCATATTCAAATCAAATTTGGAGGATTTTGAAATTATATTGGGCATGTCAATGACAAAATTAAAATATTTTCAATTCAAATTAAACGTTTTTTACTTAGAAATTGAAGTATATTCAAACAAAATTGAAATTTTCAAAACCAAAATTGACTGTTTTCAAACAAAATTGAAATTTTATGTCAACATATAGTTTTTTATAACGAAAATGAACAATTTCCACATCGATTTGAAATGGTTAAAAACCAAACTGAACTTTTTTCAAACTAATTGAAAATTCTTAAAGTCAAACTGAACTATTTCCAAATTGAATAAAAAATTGATATTATTTCAATGAAAATAGTATTTTTTTCCGAAGGAAATTCAACTTCCAAACCAAATGAAAATTATTTCAAATCAAATTTGACTTCCTCCAAGCCAAATTAAAATATATCAATTCAGTTCAATTTTTTTTAAATGGAATATAAAACCAATTAAATTTTTAAAACGAAATTGAAAGTATTTCAAATCAGGTAGATTTTTTTAATCTTAAATAATTTTTTTCAGACAATTTAACTTTTGTTAAACCAAATTGAAAGTATTTAAAATAAAGTAGAATTTATTTCAAAGGAAGTTGATCTTTTGAAATCAATTTTATTTAAATTTAACTTTTGTTAAGCCAATTTGAAAATATTTCCAATCAATGTGAATTTTTTTCAAAGAAAATTGAAATATTTAAAATAAAATAGTAGTTTTTTCAAACAAAATTTATTTGTTTAAATCAAATTAAAAGTATTGCAGATCAAATTTCGCTTTATTTGGTCGAAATTAAACTGTATCCAAACCAAATCATATATATTTCAATTCAATTTTTACTTAAAAATGGAATTCTTTCGTAATGTTTTTGCTTTTTGTTTTTCGTTTGATGTTTTTCTTTAACAAAATTTAAAAATTTAAAGCCTTTCTAGACCAGCAGCCCAATTCAAGATATATACTCTTCCGAATAAAATTTACCTCCTCCAAACAAAATTTATTATTGTTGTTTTTATTGTTATATTTGGTTACATAATATTGTTTTAGACTATTTACAAAGGTAAAGACATGCATTTTGGGTTAATAATAATAATAATAAAAGAAATAATATTTTTATTAAACAGTAATTATGGGAAAGTTATCTGTTCCTTACAATTAATATACACATTATATTGGTGGTATTAAACAATTTCCACGTGGTTTGGGGTGTTAAAAGTAAATTTATTAATCAATATGGCCTGGAACCACAACCTAATATATTAAATATTTTCAATGAAATCAATAATTATATATTCAATGAAATATTACAAACATCGAACTTAATTCGTCTTATTTGTATTTAATGGGTTGAAGAAAGTGTTAGGGTATCAGTGGGGTGTTATTAGAAGGCGTTTTTCAGTAGATGTGAAAGCCAGACAATCAGAAGGCACTGGCTAATATCAGCCCTCTACCTCCATTATCCACAGTGATTTGTACAAAGGCAGTTAACTCGACGGTAATCGATAATTCTCCACTTCCTTCTTTTTATTTTCGTTTCTATTATTGCCGGTCAAGGGTCGCGTTTTCGGAAAGGAAGAGGCGATCCTCCCGCGGCGGCCGTGGAGGATTCGACCGTCTTCTGCACCCGGCGTAACTTTCACATGTAAAAGTACGTACAACGTACGGTGGGCGTTGTGTGGGAACTGTAGACGCCACGTCTTCACACTAGAAAGGGGGCTGAATTAGTATCGTTTACTCCTTTTTTCTCTCGATTGAATGAATAAACAATTGAAGAAAAAAAAAGTATCCGATGACCTTTTCGGTATTCATTTCGAAAGTGCTGTAATGTACTGTCTCACATGGTCTCGCACATAGGGGATAAAAAATAATTAAAACCCGTTGACGAACAGGTTTGAAACAAAAGATTCACGGAAATATCACAGACGAATAAACAAGCTTTACTGTTCAAACAAACTGAATTTATATAACGGATTCTCATTCTGGATTAAATTTATCTTAATATATAATCTGACTGTCGTGACTCGAAAATAAACAAAAGAAAACATTACATAAATCTTTTGAGGCTACTGCGGTAGAAAGGTCGCAAGGAAATGTTCTTTTGATGCTCACTTTCAAATATGTTGTTTTGTTTAAAGTAACAGTACGAAATATAACAGGAGTCTGTTTAGCCTACGTTGGTAAAAAAATTATCTTACTGAGCCTCGTCATGGTGTGCCATATTGTAAATAAATTGACGTTATCCTCATCTGGTGCACTCTCTTCTATAAAACCATAACAGTAATTAATCTTAAGTAAGGTTTGGGTTGAAATGAAAAAAAAAAAATAGTGTCACGAGCGGGATTCGAACCCACGACCTTCGGCTAAATAAGCCCCAGCTCTACCACTTGAGCTATTAGTAACGATAAATTCGTTTCAAAAAGAGCGTATTCTTAAATTGTTTAAAATAAATTTTTTCCAACAATCAGACAAGCAGGTAATTAAAGGTTTATAACGGAAGACAATACTTTCTGGTATAACTATTTGTCGTGATAGTTTGGTCATGAATAGGTGATTTGCAGGCAAGGAAAAGTTCGAGGTGATGTAGTATACTGTGCAGAAAACCAATATAAGTTTTATAGGAAATGAAGATTCACACGAAAACAGCGTTTGCTTATTCACCGCAAGAGATTATACCCTCAAGGTCCAAAAATGATGAAAATCATCATGAAAAATCATCTCCTGTTATTGTACGGAGATAACGTTTCTGAAGACACAAGGTTGCAGCAGACAATTCCTCAATATTCTTCCTCCTTGCTGAAGATCTAAATCATACACGAGTTCGTATTACAAAATTATTTTTTAAGACCAGAAGAAAAATTTGCTAGCAGATGTTATGCTAATGAATTTTTAATAAACCTTATTTTAAATTTAAATCATAACAGTTAGTATTTAGGTTGTTAGTCCGGGAGTCGTTGAAGTTGAGTAATGATCGATCAGTCAACGTGAATGTACACTATAGTTAAGTAAACAAACCAGCCTGCTTTCAGCTGAAGTTTGTCAAGAAAAGCCTGACCAATACTTTGCAGAAAATAAAGAAAACAGAAAGTGTTTATTATCGGTTGTGCAATAGCGACGAGTTAATTGGCGGTTCGGAATTTGGGAATCTTCCCAAAGCGGCTTCCCCAACTTTCCAACGAAGGTGGAGAACTTGTTCCGTTCTGTGTGAGAGTAAACGGGGGGCGTCCCGTCTCGCTGTAACGTATCGCAAAGCTTCCGGATCGGGTCGAAGAAAGTCGACGACGGAACTTGATTTACAACCTGTCTCCTCACCGAGTCAGGTCCAGCCGGTAGAAAAATAAATATGTATTTGAGAAGTACGCTGAATTAATTTGAGAGAAGGATGTGCAATCACTCGGGTTTATGTTATTTCTAACAATAGTTGATTTAATAAAAAAAAAAAAGAAAAAAAAGAAACATCGTAATAGCGCCGTGTTAAACCATGTATGACTTAAAACAAGTCGTTTAGATATAAAGTGGATGCTAATGAACTTTCTAAACACTTTCTTGGAACAAAAGTCTATTTAATTTGGCTTAGATTTGTAGCTTTTAACAACTGAAATTACAATTCAAACAGTCGAAAATGAGTGTTAATTACATTAGCAAAAGAAAAATAAATACATTTTCACAGTTCAACTAGATCCTTCGATTTTGGGCCATCTTTCTTTTTCTTAGTGTTCTGTTTTTCAGATCACATTTTCCAATCTTATGGATATTTTCATGCTTATAAATTGCGGTGAGTTCTTCTACCTTAATAGTAGTAAATTATTACTCGCCTCAATTTAAAAGCTCTATATCATTTAATGTTAATTTATTTCCTAAGTACTGATATTAAAATTCCATTTAATGTATCTCAATTTGAAACTTGTGCGAAAATTACCCGTCGCAATTGAAGACCGCATATAATTGACAAGCACAAATTGACTTTTAATTGAAGTTAAGTTTCTGAATGTGGAAAGGGCAAAAATGAAAATTTTTCACGCTGTACTTATTAAAAGTTCTACTCTAATTACAGCGTACGTGTT